CTGTAGATTAATGCAGCAAAAAACACCTGTCATTATTTATGCATTCTTTCTTTAAAAAAAAAACCACTTTAACAATATGCCCTACAAATGACCATCACTCTGTCATGGGTAGAATTATAGAATTAATTTAAAAACAATAGAAATTCATTAAAGTATTATAGAGGGAGTCTACCTAAGACAAAATTCTGGGAAACTTTAGTTTTAATAGAATGCTACATAAATAAGTACACCAGAGCACTACCTCAGAAATAAATGACATAGTATCACTCCCGGTAGGTGAAAGCCACATAATAAACCAGGCATGGTGCACACACCTGTAATCCAAATTGTGAGTCTGAGGCCAGTATGGGCTACATAGCAAGATCCCGTCCAAAACAAAACAGAACAAGACGAAGGACAATTTCCCCTGACGTTTGCCTAATGTCATTTATGCTTTGACTATACTTGGATTATTACTGTTGTTATTTTTAGATATAAATCATAGGATTCCTATCAAATCTACTAAATGCAGATTTTCAAATTCAACTCTCTGAACTGGCTGTTAAACCTACACTAACAGTCAAAAGTTTATGTGCTTACTGGGAGTGTCTGAGAAAAACTGAAAGTTTAGACACAAGTTAATCACAGAATGGGGCAACACAATCATGCTTGTGGGTGACATTTTGTGTCCGTGGATGGTTCCACAGCAAATGGGGCGGTAAATCATTAGTTTCCTTTCAGAGGCAGAACTGATATGCCCACTCCTAAAAGTGCAGATGGTTCTGGAAAGGCAGGAAGCAAAACACCATATGAATGCATGCTGAACAAACAGTGAAGTGTGTGCAACCTTCCCTGATCAAACTGGACCTTTTCCAGAACATTCCACTAAAGCTTCAACCCATGTTACTTTCCACTCAGCTATGGCATTTCTCAGCCTGGCTCTCCTAAATAACACAATGATAATAATGAAATGCCTGTACTCATTTTTATATATGTGAATGAGTACATGACCAAAGTGTTGCAATTTTAAAATTCTGTTCAGAGGCTGAGTGTGTAGCTCAGTGGTAGAACACTCGCCTAGCATGTACCAGACCCTAAACCAATCTCTAGCACTGGAAAAAAAAATAGAGATAAAAGAAAAGCAGAAAAAAATTCTATTGAAAAACATGAGCTCCCCATGTACTGCACTAGTCTCAATATCTCCATCTAGGGCTTCTAAAAACAATTACTTGTTTTTTTGACTAGAACTAAAAGGTTAAGGAGGAGCCCCAGAGAAAAAATATTTTTAAAGAACTCTTTCATGCCTTCTGATGTTACAAAATAAAAAAGGAAGTATATCCATAGAGTACTCAACCAACAGTCTAGAAATCAGACTTGTGAGGCCTAACCTGACACTTGCCTAACCATGCCTAAATTACAACCCAATGGGAGCAGACTTCCCTAGTTGCTAAGATTTGGATGGGACAACAGGTATACACTGGGGCAAGGTAGGGCAGAAGGTCTCCAAAATCTTTTAGTCCCAACTTCCTACGACCACATAAAATATTTTGAACAGATTTGGTCATTTGATTGGATTGTTTATTGCATACCATAAAAGATGTACATTAATATAGGATCAGAGGGGTCTAGAAGTACTCTGTGAAGCTGTGCACAAAGTCTGAAGTTACAAAGCTTAACAATAAAACGGAACCAGAAGTTTTCAGCTTTTAAATTTCATTTCTATAGAAAAGAGGAAAAATAAGCTGCTTCTAGAAAATACCAAACCAACTAAGAAAATTCTCCCAACACCAACATTCAACTCAATCCCTCTCCACTCTACCAGATCACAGGAGACAGAAAAAAGACACAAAAGTGACTGCACAAAAGTGTAAAAGAAGAAATCATATTTTTGACTTAGTAACAGCCATTGTGAAAGAATATATTGTAATATATTTTTTAAAGAACTTATGAATGTGTGGCCATGAGTAACTAAAAAACCCAAGAATAATGCAACTGTGAACCCATAACCAGCAATGACAACATAGTTATCAAAGAAAAGATAAATAGGGTTTTGGGTTGTTACAGCATGTTCCCTTTCACATATGCTCCCCAATTTTGTTTTTTCTAATCTTGAAGAGCCCCATTTTAGAGAATGCAAATCAAGTTATTATGTAAGATCAAGTCATGTATGAGCAGATAAAATCAGAATAAAGTCTTGGGCTTCCTCTTTCCCCTTTGAGTACTCTAATTTAGGGTAGCATCTGACTTTCTGGTTGACAATACAGATTCTAATGAAAGCATTTCTGCCATGAAGACTGAATTATGAGAAATGTCTAAAAGTACAAGTAAGAAGTGCTACCTCAATGATTTTTTTTTTGCTTTTTTGGGGGGTGAGGAGGGACTGGGGTTTGAACTCAGGGCTTTGAATTTGCAAAGCAGGTGCTCTATCTGAGCCATGCCTCCAGTCCATTTTGTTCTGGTTATTTTGGAGACAGGATCTCACAAACTAATTGCCTGGGGCTGTGATCCTCTCAATCTCAGCCTCCCAAGTAGCTAGGATTACAGCATGAGCCACAGGGAAAGGTACAAGAAATTGCCTGTTCCTAAGAAGCAACAACATTCATGAAAACAAAACTCTGATATATATTTTTTCCACTTATGAATGAACTATTCTATCATGTCTCATCTCCTCCCTTATAAATGTGTAGTTGAGCACCCATTAGCATCTACTCAACACGCTTCTTAAAGAAAATCAGCCCTGTGAAAAGTCGGGCATGATCAACAAGAATGTTCTCACTTGTTACCTGAGGGCAACTCTATTTGTGTTTTTACATACATGCTTATGCATCTTCTTGCTTCTTGACACATAAGTTTCTGCCCCCAAATCATCCAAAAGTTTGTGCCCAAGACTATAAAACACACTGTAGGGATATTGAGAAGTATGCATGAGAGAGGGTACCAGCTTCAAGATTGTTATAATTTACTTAGGGAGCTAATACATATTCACACAAAGAGTTCCCAGTGCTAGCAAAATAGAGGGTTATCAGCCAGGCATGGTAGCATATACCTGTAATACCAGCACTCAGGAGGTAGAAGCAGCAGGATTACAAGTTCAAGGCCAACCCGGGCCACATGAGAGACCTTGTCTCAAAATAATAACTTTTTTAAATTGAGAGTTATCATATCTTTATTAGTAACATGGAAGTGCTGTTATCTGCATATTATCTACATGAATCACAAAGACTTAATCCAAAGAGGTAAAAATAATTAAATAAATTCATGCCATATATTTCAATTATATTAAAATGTAATAATAAATAGATAGTAACAGAATAAATGTGCAAAAAAGAGCATACCAGTGCGAGGTAATGGAAAAGATGGAGTGAGATTTTTAATGGCCAAAATATCACATAAACTCAGTAAAGAAAATGAGGGGAAAGCAAATAGTCTTGCTATTATTACCCTGGCAATGACAATGACAAAGAAATATGGATTCTGAAGGCTTTTGCCAAAATCCAGAGGCTTGTGAAGAATAAACTTCTGGGCTAAATTCCCGGAGGTAATGATTCCTTCGCTATCATATTCTCTCTCGCTCTGGTTTTCTACCCATAATAATCACAGTCTGAACCAGCTGATAGCTAATATTCCTTTAACCAGCTGATGGCTAATATTCCTTGCCAGAACACTTCTGGTAAGCCTTTCTTTGATAAATACATCCAGGTCCTTGTCCTATCCATCACATCCCAACCTCTCTCTCTTCCACCCTCAATAACTATACTATATAAACTAAATAATTCATGAATCAGTGACTATAATTTTTTTTGTTTATATATGACTCCTGTATACCAACTGGTTGAAAAACACAAAGTTCTAATTCATATTGCTAAAATTTGGCACTAAACAATCATTACTTGTACACTGTCTAACACTAATAGGTAATCTAGATAGATTAATATGGCATATTACTCAATATTCTCCTAAGTACAGTTTTAGTGCAGTTGTTACTCACAATGGTGACGTCCAGGTCAAATAATTATGCATTCATTGCTTTTAGCTGGCTTAAAATTGACTTAGCTACACAGCAACTAAGAGTACAATAATTTCTTTTTATGATAATCTAGTGGGAACACATAAATCTGACTTTGGTATCAAAAGGCTACAAAATATCCTTTTACCTAGTAAGACTTATTGTTGTTTGGGGGGAAAAGTTAAAAGCAGCAAAAGAAATATATGTTGTAACAGTGATAGTATCAAACTATTTCTATTATCATTTTTATGTTGGAAATAGTCTCATTTGGATATCTGAATGTTAGGACTATTATCACCTAGTAACAGCAATGATTCTATTACTACCCAACAAAATGCTAAACAATAAAAGCTCTCTTCATTCATTTTTTGAAGTCATTTCTGTAAGAGAGAAAAGAAATCCAAGGTAGAAAAGGATGACCATACTCAAGCTTCCCAGAAGCTGTAAGATAAGGTGAATAAGAAGCAGAAAAATAAAGCAAAGGGTAGGTAAGTATGGAAAACTTTTTCAAATAATATTCTCTCTTGTATCTAGCTCCATTACACAGTTTAAATTTCGGCCAAATTTTTAAAGTATTTGTTAAACAGTTCCTGAATGTGACATATGTTTCTAGGGTGTTTCTGACATTGATATGAGAAATTATAAAACATTTAGAAATGAAAATGTTAGTCTCAAGAAATAACACTATAAGTTCCAAGCTTCCTCTGAATTTGTCAAGATGGTAAAACATTTTGAAAATAGTACCTTTGTACTATTTTAAAGTGTTCAAAAAAACAAAAACATGTCATTGTTCACAGCAAGGAAGGGACACGTCCCAGTGCAATCAGGTCTGAAAGTTTACTGTAGGTGTCCTACTGTTCCTTTGCAGTCTCTATTCTACTTTCTCCATAATAAGTAAACTGCTTTATCCCTTCAGCTGGAAAGGATAATTTTTACCCTACCAAGATGATGACAATGCCGCTGCCGTGCTCACCCAGCAAGAAACACATGAATATGAAGTAGCATCAACTCTTTCAGTGTATGCAAGAATTGATTTGCAATGCATTAATTCAGAAACTCAGCAGAGAGGCTCCTACTATATCTAGCTGATCTAAACTTGAGCTCATGATAACACTGCACAAAGCTATGGTAGATGAAAGTGATAGGTAATGCCAACAGAACAATTCCACTGACAACACAAACTCCTCCAAGAATTCTTCCAGGCACTGTGATAGGATACATATCTCCATAGCCAACTGTAGTCATAGAGATAATCACCCACCAGCAGGCTGCAGGGATGCTGGCGAAGTCCTTGTTGGATGTTTCCAGGTCCAACCCATGTTCAAGAAGCTGAGAAAGTGCACTAAAGATTGCCATGGCAACACAAATGAAGACAAGTAACATAACCATCTCTCGGTAGCATCGCTTAAGAGTCAAACCCAGTGTCTGAAGGCCAATGAAGTGACGGGCAAGCTTAATCACCCAAAAAATCCTCATCATTCTGAGCACCCTCAAGGTGACTCCAGCCCTCTGGAGTTGAGAGTTCTCGCCTGTAAATACTGTCATCAGCACAGAGATGTAATATGGCGTGATTGCCAGTAAGTCAATGATGTTCAGAGGTCTTTTGACAAACTCACACTTGTTTTTGGAGACGATGAACCTCACGATGCACTCCGCAGTGAACCAACCTATGCAGATAGCTTCAATTATCCTGTCAAGAGAACAAAGAAGAACTGATCATTTTATTTTTAAAGATCTTAATAGCTCTTAACATTTCTTCAGATAGTACTACACTAACATACTAATTCAGTTACTTTTCCAAAAAACATAAAAGAACAGACAGCACTACCAACATCATCAGATCCACCAGGACAACAAATATTACAGGTCAGTTGAAAACTGAATTTGACAAGATTCTTATTTATATTGTATCACATGTAATACCATTAAAAATCATCATTTTTTACTTGTCACTAATACTTAAAAAAATCTCTCCTATTTGGTGGTTTGAAGTTGACTTAAACTGAGCTGGTCACAATGTGAAATTTCACTTACTCTTTGGGGATAGTGGTTCTTAGCTGCAGTATCAGCTGGGTGATGCAGGTCAGAGGATTTTGTTCCTACATACAGGGGGACATCCCCGGGCTTTCTGATTTCCTTCCTGATAAATCAGAGCAAGTGCAAGATCGTTTCCTTAAATGTGACTTCCTTTCATTTCTAATGTGAGGGAGATACTGAAGCCAAGGGAGCTTTTGGGGCTTTATTTAAGTGCCCTCAACAGAGGACACCAGGTCCTAACCATCCTCATTATGAAGCTCAGTGGAGAAAAGGCTGTGGGCTCCCACACTGGGGCAAACCACCAACCAGGACTTCTCCAAAGACCATAACTACTTTGTTCTTTCTATAATTATTTTTATGTAGTATAGATATTTAAAACACAGGGCCACATTTTGCCTAGAACCATATTTATCAAGCTTCTCACAAGGAAAATAATAATATTTACAGAGCATGCTGGACCCGAGGGTATGATTCTTTGAAATAGAAGCCACCCTGCCTATGACCACCCAGCCTGTGACCACCCCACCCTTTACCGACAATCTCAAAGGCTGAAGAAATCAAATCTTAGCAAACCAGTCAGGAAGTCCTGACCTGCAGTGATAAGTAATTCAGAGGAAATTGTAAGTTAATTTAAAAGTTTTAATTCTAAATTAAATTATCATTAGTATACCATCATTCATTTTTTCCGCATAATTCTTTCTTACTAGTCCCACATATTAGAAGTCCAAAGAGAGAGAAAATTTGGAGTTAAGTTAGATGAAAGTAATTAAGGCAACATTTTGAGAAGAACTACTCAAAGCGTATTCCATGGAATTATAGGTGTACTGGATGTCACTGGGAAGTCAGCAAATACACAGCAACCACATTTCCTTATTATAGGGTTTTGCAGGACCATAAAGATTAACTTCATTTTTATTTTTTGAATAAAATAAAAGTAAGATGGTTCAAATCTGTAAAGATTTTTTAAGTCTATAAAAGTTAAAAAGAGAGTATAGAAAGGGAAGTCGAAGCCAGGCATGGTGGAACGTGCCTGTGGTCCAGCTTCTTGGAGGCTGAGGAGGGAGGACTGTTGTTTTGAGACCACCTAGGCAACACAGCAAACCCATTTTCCAGTCACCCATTACCCTCCTTGGAGGCAAAAAAAAAAAAAAGGAATTCTTCCAGAGTTATTTAATGCACAACATAAAAAAATAAAATTGTGTGTGTTTATCTCCCTTTACACAAAGTATAGCATATCTTGGAGATATTTCATATCAGTGAATAAAAAGTTTCCTCATTTTCTTAGAAATGGTGGCACAGTATTTTCTGAATGTTTGTTCTATGATTTATTGAACCAGTTCACTTGATGACATTTAGTAGTTTCTAATCTCTGACTACCAAAAACAAAGGTACAGTGATATTCTTGTTTCTATGTCATTTCATACTTGTGCAAACATATCTGTAGGCTAAAACCCAGACTTAGAACTGAGTCAAGGGAAACAATTTTGAAGTTTTACCCAATTTCTCCCACAGAGGTTATAATAAATTACCCTCCCACCAGCAACCAGTGTCCACAGCCTCACCCACATAAACTAATATTGAACTTGGAGATCTCTGCCACTCTGACAAATGAAAAACACTGTCTTATTTTGAAGGATGTTGAGCACTTTTTCATCTGTAAAGGTCTGCTCTGTGACCTGAGTCCTTTGCTCTTAGGACCTTTAATCTACTCAGATATATTAAGGAATATCCTTCAGGCTACTCATAGTGTCAGATTAAGTCTATTTTTTTCCTTGAGACTACTGTTCCCTGAAACATCAGTTTTGGAAAACTGTCCAGAGGCTTTGTCTATAAATTGGTTTGTAACAGGATTCAACAACGATAGCCTACAGTCTAAATCCTGCCTGCTGCCATTTTTTTATGGCAGTTTTTACATTTTTTATGGTTGGGGAGGGGAAACAAAGAATTATAATTCATGACATGAAAGCTAATGAAATTTGGACTTCAGTGGCCATCAATAAAGTTTTATTGGAACAAAGCCATGTTCACTCATTTACACCTTGTTTTATGGCTGCTTCATGCAAAGTTGAGTGATCATGACAGAAATGATATGGTTATAAAGCCTGAAGTATTTACTATCTGGTTCTATACAGAAAAGTTCTGCCAATCCTGGTCTTGAGCAATGCTCTCAAACTGACAGTCACAGAAGTATTCGTTCAGAATCCATAGTTCTCCAGAAGGATGTTCTTAATGGTTTGCTTTTACTTCTAGAACAATCTATCTTAAAGCCTATTTAATCATATTATGAATCATATGAATATATATATATATAACTTATAGTCAGGTATTACCTCCTGACTCCATGGTCACCTGTGTTTGTGACAATGACCACACAAGTGTCAAGCAGGGTATATTAACTGTTGTGGGCTAATAAGAGGAGAACAGAAGCTGACCCAATAGGTTAATGATACAACTTGGACAGTCTACACTATCCAGCATAATGGCTATCCAAGAGATGAAGATTTTCATGGCAGTTCAAATGGAGGCAACTAGTGAGAGCACCGAGTCATCCCAAGATAGGAATATAAGGAGCTGCACTCCAAAGAGCCTGCCAAATATTCTGAAAATATCAGTCATGAACAAGCCCAAGATGAGCACTGTGGTTTGCATATGAGGTGTCCACTCAAAAGGTTCATGTGTTGGGGGCCAAAACAGCAACACTGTTTTGAGAGGTTCTGGAAACATTACAAAATGGGCCTAGTTGGAGGAAGTAAGTCACTGGGGCATGCCTTTGAATGGCTATCATCTGGTTCCCCAGTCTCATTCCCCCCACCCTCATCTGCCATGAGGTGAAC